GTGCGTGCCCAAGATCCCGAGAGGAGAACAGAGGAGAAGGGATAGCGGCGTGGCCATCCCCCCTGGGGGGGGATTTCTTGCTTTCTGTCTCTCGGTCTCTGTCTGTCTGGTGAGTGCATGGGCCCTATAGCAAAAACGTCTCAAAAAAAAAAAAAAAAAAAGAAAAGAGAGAAAGGATGTGTCTGAGGTGAGTGCAGCAGTTGCCGTCATGGAAAGGAGAAGCGTGTGGACACGGAAGACACGCACCGCCCGTCCTCACTGCTCCGAGTGGAGACCCAGAGATGGTGCTCTCAGCTGCATGCAAGGAGGGGGCGCAGGGGCTGGGGTGTGGGAGGGCCTCGCTGTATCCCCCTGTGTCTTTTTTACTTTAAACCCTATGAGTGTATCACCCATGGGCAAACACACATGAAAAGCTTTATAATTAGAGCGGACGAGTATGTGTATTTCAGAGACGGGCCGGAAGGCCCTCAAAAGGGACTGCGATCCCAGAAAGCCTGAGGGCGTGTCACTCACATGCTGTATGACTTTGGGAAAAGACCCTAACCTCGGAGCCACATCTGTCACGTGAGAAGGAACAGTGCCGCTGCACAGGCATGCTGCCAGCGCGTCTGTGAACGTAAGCTGCAGGAGCCCTTCTTGGACGGACGACTTACCCTCTGCTATCTCCCCCCCCCCAGCCCCTTCCAGACGGAGCCCCTGGCCTCTCAGCAGCTCTGAGGAAGGTCTCTGGCTGGCCCTTGTCTTCCTCCCTGTGTGCTCCAGGCCTGTGAGCCCCTCCCTCCGGGATGCCCCTGCTCTTCCTCCTCCTGCCTTGACCCCCACACATGGCGCAGCGGCGGCCAGGCTCTCCAGCTACCGCCTTTCTCCTCCCCTGTCCTTCCCGTGATCTCATCCAGTCCCGAGGCTTAAAATACTACCAGGCCATCTCCCTCCGGAGCAGTGACTCGCAGACAGCTCCTGCTCCGTGTGGGCGTGCCTGCCGGACATCTGAGAAGCATTGAGTGCCGCGTGGCCCAGACCCCGTCCTCACTTCCCCCCGACCCCCCTGTCTGCACTCCTCCCAGGGTGCTACTAGGCCCGACCCCTGCACATCTTCCTCCAGCCCTGCCTACTCCGTCCCACTAGCAATGGCACAAACACGCCTCCAGTGGTCACTGTGGAGCACTGTGAGGATAGCGCTGTTACTGTCATGGCATGGGGGCTCAGAGGCTTGGGCCCCGGCTCTGACCCCACCCCCAGCCCAGCCAGTGCACAGCCTCCTCCTGGGCTCCCCACAGACCCTTTCCATGAGGACGGAGCTGATGTCAGTCCACCTAATGCTCCTGGGGCTCTCTGGGCACCCAGGGTAAACTCCAGCCCCTGGCAAGGTCTGGCCCTCTCACTCCCTGCCGTCGCTTCGGGCCACACGAGCCTTCCTTCCTGTTCCGTGAACTCAGCATGCTTGTTCCTGTCTCTGGGCCTTTGCACGCGCTGTTCAGGTTCACATTTTCTTCTCCAAGAGGTCGCAGTTCAGCT